GCTTGGTGTTTATTATAGTGCAAAGTAGGTGATATTTATGGTGTTTTTTTTTTTTTTTTTTTTTTTTGAAACCTTGGAACGTTTTCGCATCATTTATTCCTTTTAACGTGCGAATGGATGGTTCTTTTTTGTCAAACCTCTCTCCTCTCGCCCTTGTCCCCCGAATATGAAGAGCAGCGCCACCCAGTTTGGTGATATTTTCCCTCCACTTTTTGCTTTGCCTCTGTTGAAAGAAAAACGTAGGGTAAAAGTAGAGCATTCCCTACTGGCCGAGACAGAGCCAGGCGGCATCTGCTGAGATGAGAAAGCCTCCAGGCAGGACAGAGGGGACTAGTCGGAGACCTACCCACCTGAAGGCAAACCTTGACTCCACCCTCGTCCGGTCATACGTCACTTTGACCTACATATTACGTATCCCAAGGATGACGTAACTTATTTACGTATGTTTTGTAGGCCCCTATCATTGTGTTTGTATTTACAAGTCTGAGACAAATATCTAAAGAAACGTTAATGAAGGTACCTGTAGCAAACCTACCTCTATACATACCCCCATAAGAGTCAAAGAATGAAAAAACAATTGAAAAGTCAAATGAAACTCATTCTACGCACCTTATTTTCATTCTTTTTTAAGCTCCAGTATCATACTGGTTTTAAATTCTTTATGTTTGCAGTACATGCCCCATGAGCATCTGAATTGACTTGTTGCTTGTCGTACATTTTTGGGATCTTTTTCTGGTAATACGAACACTATCAATTGCGATAGATAGCTCGTTCCATTGAGACAGTGGACTGCCTAGCGGTCGCCCTGCGATGCGTGCTTGTCTCACCTAATGCAACTAACGGTGGACATGCATTGCGTATTTCCAGCCATTGTGCATTATATGCACTTGCAAGTGTATTTGGCTTCACCTAATAATAATAAGAAGAAGAAGACGAAGAAGAAAAAGAAGAAGAATTTATTTTGAAAATGTGTGCAAATCTCACGTCTCATTGCAGTTTACAAATATCATTAAATGTAAAATCCAAGGATGCGTTCACTCTACGATAGATTGTGAACACACTCTACATGTAAAACCACAATCATGGCTTAATACTTACATAGTCAAGGATAATTGTTTATGTGATTCAAAATGAAAGGATTATTCGTGTAAAGGGGGTTTAAGCACACCCGCTTGTTGTTCACGTTACTGAAACAGTTATTGCACAAAAATAATATTAATAATAAAAGCATTAATTAACAAATTGTTTATAAGTGAAAGGGAATTGTTGGCTGGAAATGCTCCATACTGATTCGACATTTTAAGACTGTTATTTTCATATTCACACAACACACAACATTAAAAGGTGTTTTCCGAGATAATTATTGTATTTTCAGGAGCGGTTCCAGGATTAGGGGTTCGGGCGTAGGGTTCGGGGCCCACTGAAGGATATTGGTATTTTAGAGGGCAAACGGTGTCATTTGGTACGCCCGTTTACAACTGTGATTTAGCTAAGCAACATTCGAATTTCAAGAGGGAATCCCATTGGTGTGATTTTTTGCAGAAATCGAAAGGGGGGGGGGGGGGGGGGGGCGGGCCCCCCTGACCCCCCCCAAAACCCCCCCCTGTTTTTTGTTCAATCTGGCATCTCTCTATCACTAGGTGCATTCAATCTCTCATTTATTTCAACAACTACGTGTAAATCAGTTTCTAAACGTTAACTGTTAAGTGATCTTTTGATCATAATCTTTATTCTATTACAACTGATTCAGCTCTTTTTTCCTTTCAAAGCAAATCAAATTATATTCATTATTAATTACTGTAGTAATTGGTAGATGTTGCGTTCGTGTGTATACCTATTGTATACCGGATCAGATCTCAGTTGTGTTAGTTGTGAAGACGGATCGCAACCGTCACATTGATGGCTTAGCCAAGTGATGGTGATGGATATATTACGAATAAAGTTACAGTAGCCTACTTTCTTCAAGGTTTTATTGTCATTCAGTTAAACTTATTTTTTTATCAAATCATATGTTTCATGTATTTGCGTGTATTTTGATTATTTATTCATTTACCATAATAATGGTGTGTTTCCGTTGCCATATGTCCCAGTTGAGTCCTTCAATAATTGATCTCTGCCATGTATTCTGTAGGTAATGAGTTTGGAGTTTCATTGTTTAAAATCATATCTGTGAATCCGTTTAATTGAATATGAAATGTTTGTATTTCCGTTTGTAAACGAATATATTTTGATTCCTACCATAAAATCTGTCATCAACATAACATATCCTAGGAATAATTGCAAAATAAGTAAGATTTAGCCTACCAATAATCCACAGCTATAATTATTATAAATTTGAAATCATTTCACATATATGTGTATTGACATTTGCCTTCATAAACGTTGTTGATTCTTCTGTCTAAGATTTATAACAAGCAAGCGAAAAATGGACTAGGTGACTTCTGTTTCACGAATTTGAGCTAGAATCAGTTTGATCATAAATCAACATTTAAGATGTGTTTATTTGTATAGGAGGGCACGGCCATTTTATCTTTGACACAAGAACCCCTGCTGCGCAATCATTTATTTTGATACTAACCAAAGAATCAACGTATGCGCCTTTTGTATTATTATTATTATTATTATTATTATTATTATTATTATTATTATTATTATTATTATTGTTAACAGTAACCTGCCTCCCCTAATGAGTTAAGAATTCAAAATTTCCGTCCATTAACACTAATGTTGTCTTGTCTTTTACACTAACAGGTCTATCAAACATAAACTTATAATGCACTTGACACGCTTGAGATTATTTGGTTTTTAGTTTTTCATCCGCTTGTGTTTATCAACTTGACCTGCATATATCGATTTGCGATTTGTGTATCCATTATTTCACTGAAGAGATGGTTTACTTCGTTCAGTTTAACGGCGAGGGTCGGGAAGAAAAAAACACATAAATAATTTTTGCTCATAAATCAAACTGATGCATGATAAATAGACAAACAAAGCGAACTTAATTTAGAGATAAAAAATAAATGAAGGCCGCCGTCTATTTTCATAATTGAAATGTAATACGAACTCTTTCATTTTACCATAGGAACGTCTCCATCTGTTCGCGCCCTCTCGTGTCAAACAAAGGAGCCTCTTGAAGCAAAAGAGCGATGACGTCATCCAAGTCATTTTCAATTGAGCGTGGCTAGCTACCGCAGAAGTTTTCATTGAACGTTTTATCTTAAACACACCTATACACACAGGGAAATAAGTCATAAATATCCGTCTATGTACAAGGTAAACTAATAAAATTACTAGGCGGCAACTTTCAAAGGGGCAGTTATTCGCAAGTCTGTCAACAGCCAAGGCTGGTGGTATGGGTTGGCCGGGGAGCCCCAGTTTTGTGATTAATTCCCCTTTTGAGATAAACGCGTTCGGTTCAGTGAAACTCAATGGTAAAAACAGGTGTGATTATTTTCTTGTCACTGGAAATACGCCTACGAAATTATACGATAGAAAGGTTTGTACCCATTGGTACCATTGCTCAATATTAAGTATTACATATATTTAAACAGCGATAGTTTTTAATCATATCAGTAATTTGGGGGGAAGTTTGAAGGCCGACACTCCCATCCCCGATAGTAAAGGCACTGCAGTGAAGAAAGTAGCCGCTCAACAAAATAGTAAACACTTATGAACATGGAGATTGCATTTTTGTATTTTTAACATTTTATAACACAGCCTAATCCTCAGTTGTTGACTTAAAAAATGATAATTTGGTATGTTAGGTATAATTGACATACAAAAAAATTTGTATTTTGAATTGTGTAGTATGCCTGGTTTTCATGGTACACCATGCTTATTTGTAAATATACATGTAAAGCTACTTGTTGAGTTATATTATACTAAAATGTGAAACAGTCGTGTATTCTGTATCAAATATTAAATAACGTGGTAACTGGTTAGCATAATGCAACTAAAATATGTCACGTCCATATACAATATGATGTCAACATATGCGTATAGAAACAATAGACACAGTGATCTTTCCTCCGTCTTTCAAAAAAATAAATGAAACAATAAAAAGAAATATATAAATAAATACTTTCCAACAAAAATCTGTCTTTAACTAGTACGGAATTTAGAATATAGAAGTCCAGGTTTTCCCAAAGTCTGGACGATGAGATTGAAATTTAACCATTAAGTGTTGAATTATTTCAAAACAAGTTTTAAAAATTTGTAAAATCTACGTTATCAATGTTTGTCTTGATTTTGAAAGTATCTGGCATCTCCTAGAAAAAAGCTGCGTGAAACAGAATATAGACTGGGGTATTGAGAAAACGGCTTTTTATACGGACACATGCTCAAAGTTTCATTATGAAATAATTATTAGATTTCACATCGGGGGAAACTTACACGTGCAATAAAAAAAAAAGAAAGAAAAGAAAATGGAATGTATTGAGATCTAGAGATGTGTCCCAACTAATGTGATTATATTATTGACCTCATACGCACTTTTCAGGTCGGTTATGATCAGTAAAGTGCAATGATTGCGGGAATCGGTCATAAACAACATTTGAAAAGTTCATGTCAATTACGCTGATCTTAATAAACCGCTTGAGCCCAAAATAAATGAGCAAACGAAAGGAAAATATAAATAAGAAGCTCTTAATAATTTTGACTCTAGAATAATATTTCTTTTAATGCTCTAGTGTAAAGAAAAAGTATTTTAATTTGATTTTATTTAATTTCAACGCGTTGTGTCTATTCAATGCTGGAATATCACACTTTGAAATATGCTTAATTTATGGCGCCACAAATCTCCTGTCAAATGGATAGATCATATTAAATGAGGTGCTTTGTTCAATTAGGCCCTTAAAACTTCTGATACGAAAAGTATGCAAGCAGCACAACTCGTTTCGATTGAAACTACTTCATATTTGTAGATTTATACAGGGTGGTTTGAAATCAAATCATTTTCCGTCGAACGTAGAGAATGAACTTAAAACCAATCAGTTGACATCAGAAAATATCCCCTGTTTTATTGGTCTGCTGAGTGCAAAGGTTGTAGAAATCGTTACCCTAAATTGTTTCCCATAGAGGAAAGCATACATACATACATATATAAAGAAAACAAACACTTATATTATTACGTGATATATACGTCATCTAAACATGCGGAAACAACTGCCAGGGTACACAACTAAAGAAAGAAAATGTTACCCATAAAAATACAATGATCATCTTAATAGTCACCAGTTGACCTTCGAAATGTTCGCGGTTTTGGCGAAATATTTACCAATGTTTTCAGTTCAAAACATTAATATAAACGTGCTGCACATTTTCTACTCTACATTTTCATCTGCATCACTTATATTTCAAATGTTTGGTTTGTACTGATTGATAAAAATAAAACTATCAAGGTCCAGTGGTTGCAAAAGCATCAGTAAGTGGCACAGACAAACATAGAAACATACAAGTACTAGTCAAAATAACAATTACTATACATATCTATACATTTTCTATAAATTACTCCCCGTGTGCCGAGAATTGCTACCCATGCTTTAAGACTTTTCCTTGCACCGGTCTTTATTTACATATATAGCTTAAATTTCAACGTAACATTTAACACCTATTTTTACGATATTAAACCCTGTCACAAAATAAGTGTAACTATGTGTGTCAAATAGGCATCTACATTGTATCCCACTGATAATTAAAAACAGATCAAGATGTACTATTTAATACATTTAAATGCTCAAGTTTTTACACGTTTTTACGCAAGTTTTTTCGACACACTCGGAGTTGATACAATTTGACCATAACGATGTTCATTTACTCATGAAAAACTTTGCAACTGATGAAGTTTTTCCGAGTTACAGCTGTCAGTTCCCGTCCGTTAGAAACAAAACCGAAATATGAATTGAAGTCTGTTCTGAAATGTACATTTTACTAAAAAAACTCAATTTTAATCATCGAATTCAATAGAACACTTTTGATCATCTCTTCAATATTAAAGTCGATCTTCATATTTGAAAACGCGGCCCAACACTTTTGCATAGATGCTCAAATTAAAAGACGTGCAATTTTTCAGTTTAGAAAGTTTTGAAATATTGTCTTTTGTTTGATATAACAGAACCTGGCAAGGCACAAGCACAACATATATGCAACAAGACTTAACGATTGTTTATACTAATAAACAAACTACAATTAATTATTTTGGACCATACCCTCTGATCCTTTGTCATACTTTCTGAGACGTTTGTCTTTAAAAAAATACTAAAAATCTCCAACAATAAATATGGTTTTCAAAAATGCCTTTCGACACACACTGTCATGGTTTAAATTACCACAGCATAATCTAGACGACATGCAGGGCATTGCAAGTTCATTACACATTCAAAGTGATGTAACAGACATGACGGTTAGTCCAACCCGTAGATGATTGCCTTTCTGTATTCTGTATAACAAAGTGCTTCAGAATTCCTTAGCATTCCGTTGGGTATTTCTAAGTTTTGGGGTGTGTTTCACTGTCGCGTTTACACGGCACTGGTTTTCTAAGAACAGTCACTTAGGGATGATCGTGAGATCCGTTTTGAAGGGCGTTTTATTTTGTCTTGTTAAAAAAGTTACGCCACCGTCAACAGATCTACTTCCGTTAATGAGATCAAAGTTATTTCTTTGGTAAAGCTGACGATTTACAGTTTGATCAGACATCTTAATCTCTTTACCTGAAAACACTTGGAAGACACCTGTCGAAGTTACTTTCTTTACATCTAAAATAAACAGTCAGTCCATATACCCTGTCTGGTCCTCACGTATAATCAATCTCAAACGGAGAGTTGTTTTACATGTACCGATGTCCTTACTGAGCCCGTAGTGAAGATTATCATCATCTCCTATAGATGTCACTCTTTTATTGAGTCCGAACTGTTGCCATTAATGGAGGCTTTATTCAGATCTGTAGTACCAGAATTACATTTACTGTTATTATTGTTACTACTGCTATTGTTGTTATTGTTACTGCTGCTACTGCTTATAATGGGCTTCTTCAGGGTATCGTTTATTTCTTTGATTTGCTGCCGTTCTTTCTTTAACTTCATCCGCCGGTTTTGAAACCATATTTTGATTTGTCTTTCAGTCAGACAGAGCGCATGCGCAACTTCTATCCGCCGCTTCCGAGTAAGATAATGGTTGAATTGGAATTCTTTTTCAAGTTCCAAAGTTTGAAATCTACTGTATGTCTGTCTTCCCCGGCGCCTTTGAGCTGAATTTGGACCTGAAAACAAAACAGCAGATGTCAATCAACAATATGCAAATTCGTCAAAATCACTTTCGAAAAAAAAAAAAAAATTAAAAGCGACTATACAGGTAGCATAAACTATTTTTTTAGTTAAGAAGACGTTTTTAATTCATGATGTAACTTAAATGATGATAGTAACTTAAATATCCTAATTGAACGCAATAAACAGTTTTAAAAATGTTTTGTAGGGTGCTTATAAATCGGTCAATATTCACAGTATGCTTCAAACAAATGTAATAAGAGCTATTAAAGAGAGAGTTAAGATGACAAACAATCACAGATGCCAAAGCTTTAAAACTTCTCTGAAAAAGATAGAGTGCGCTTTACATTGATATTAACTTTACCGTGTGATTTATTGGCGTTACTTGAGTCTGATATAAACGCCAGTTACCTTATCACTGCGTTTTGTTGAATTTTTCTATCGATCGCAATCATTTCACAACTCTCAAGTGCAAAGCTCGATTTTGTGGCAAGTTTTATTTCAACTGATCGATAGTTAATAAACGAAAGGTATTGGTTTTGCGCAGCACTTGTTTAAATGACGTGTTTAAGTGTACAAACAATTCTAAAAATTAATGAACAATAAAATATTATACAAAGTTGGAAACTCATCATTTTCTCCTACTCATTTTGTCAATCTTTTCTGTTTCATTCAAATTCCAAAACCAAGCTTAAAAAATCATATGATCATTGAAATCTTAACAAATAAATTTGCTATAACTATTAAAAATATTTATGCACTTCATAACAAACACAGAAAAATGGACGCAGTTATCAATTTAACATTGGCCGTCAATGTTTTGCCTTGGTCTTATCACGGCGACCTGGTTACGATATCCCTCCGCAGATGGAGAAAGGCCGGGGGCATTGAGGACTTTAACACGGCGTATTTACCTTTCATTGGCGCGTAACAGCTTCAAACAACAACAGGAAATACGGGAACATTAAAGAGATAGCGTTTCCTTGTCCTCTATTTCTTAATTATATATCTGGTCGTCTCATTGATGTCTGTATACATGCGCTGTCTTAATTTGTCATTTTTTATGTGGGTTTTATATGGCACCTAATAATTTTCCTTTTTTCCTCAATGAAAAAGTATTTTCACCCTACTAGTATGTTTGAATAGGTAGCTGATTCCAATATCGGGATAATGGGAAAACGGTTACTATTCCACTGAAGAGATTCCAAATTGAATTTGTTGTCTAAATCGTGGTCGGTTGCGATCTTATAACCGTTTTCTTTTTCTTTTTTCTTTAATCATTCAAATTCAATGACAAGTTGTTCCGGTTTAAACACCTGCGACGTTGTCGGATGCTTTGACTTTAATAATTTTCGTGGAAAATTATGGTCTGGATGTCCTTTGGTATTGGTCGGCTGAACTTATCACTGTCAAAGCCATATCGTGGCAAGTCGTCAACATTTTAGATTGTTTCGGAAATGATTATGGCAGGCTAAAATTGAATTAGTCGTGTAAAAAAAAAAAAAAGCATGGAAGTTCCACGTGCAAAATACAGAAACAACGGATACAGAAGTTCGACCAGTCGAAAAATATATATTGATACAATTGCTCACGCTCAATCTATTTCATGATCAAGTGATTCACGTTGTTTAAGTAAAGTTTACTTTTGAATCAGAAAAAAATCGATGATTGATTAAATTAACTGCAAACCGACTTAATTACGATTTAACATAGTCTGGTGTCGGGATTAACGCAGCATAGAAAAACAAAGCAATTCATGAAAGAGAGAGAGAGAGAGAGAGAGAGAGAGAGAGAGAGATTTGGCAAACTAAATTACATCTCCATACTAATTTGAAAAAAAAAAAAAAAAAAAAAAAAAAAAAAACAAGAACGACCCCAAACTTCAACGGAGTGCATGTCAATTTAGAGACCTCGTTCACGAAATAATCCTAACAATTCTACTTCTACATATTATCCCGTACAGTCGGTATCAAAACTGGATTTAAGACAAACCAGTTTCAAACAGGAATGTATATAATAACTACAATTTTTATTACCCTTTAATACTCAAACATGGTGGTACAAATAATTACTATTTATACAACCATTATCTAAACTTAAATAGGTTCCACATGGAGTATAGCATACAATAACTGACTTTAATTTTCCATGATATTCTATTTATTTAATCTTCAGCAAACACCTGTGTGTAGGAAATGTGCAGAAGTGATGGATCTAGTTAGGTAACTTTGGTAATGTCCGCATTTATTTCAAGTATGTCGTTCTTCACTGGGAAAATATTGCTTTTAAAAGTATATTCGTTTTACAAACTTATAACGTATAAAAAAACATTTACTGGCTACCTTCTAGTTTGTCGCATAACTGACTATCGACTATAAAAAGGCTTCTCTTTACAAGAAAAACTCAACAAAACTTCCAATTCTTTTTCTTTTGCCCTTGGTAACGAGTCACCGTTACCTACCATAGCAACTGATTTGTGATGCAGGAATTCGTAACCAAAAACACTGGTGGTTTTGCAGCACTTCATCAATTAGACACACAATTTGTCAAGTTAAGAAATATATTCAGAAAAGCGGTAGGAGAACAAAAGTGCCACTGAAGTGTTTGTTGGGACTTGTGAAAATATACTGCGTGTTCTAAAAAAAAACTCCTGATGATAGTCTCGCCAAGCAGAAGTCATCTGTTACCGAGTCAGAAAGTATTTAACAGGTTATATCATTACCTGACGGCCTAGTCAATCCTTAATTTTAACCATAATTAAGGAACCCCTGTCACAAGCCGATTGTTTAGATACATGTTATTACTTAATTTTCTATTAAGGGTTTTATTGCATTTACTCTCTCTTAAATTCCTAAACAAAGTTCAATATGTACTGTAATTATAGATATTTATATCAACGACGAAGTTTGAATGCACTTGCATTCTTTCTCATTTTCTCTATTTGCATGCTTTCGATAAGATTAATAGTGACGAAGTATTTAGTCAGTAAAATCTAATGGCTGTCCTTAACATGACAACTCCACGTCAACCGAACGTGTCTGTCATAAGTTTGACATGAATGAAAGCTGTCAGGGGCGACGCTCTCCACTGCGCGGAGGCTGATAGTTGTAAATCATGAACTAGGACCCACAGTAGTATGTCGTAACCCCACATCCCCCCAGAAGGACAAGTCGTTCTAGTTGTCGTGAATCATAACGCGTCACTGTAGAACAAGAAATCAACTCTGAATGTAAAAAGAAATGTATGACCCTGCCGGTATCGTTCATTTCTCAAAGCTATATGGGTAGACCAGACAACAATTGTCTTAAACGATAAGTATTTTTCTTGCTTCAAAATGTTCTTTTTACAAAACACGCCTTAATTATTTCGTGTTCGTTCTTCGACAATGTAGAAAAAGGTTGACTTTTAAAACAAACCCTTTGGTTTAATCTATTCACTGTGATGTCAAAATTGCTTTGCTGATTTTTCATTAACAAAAAGGCCAGCCCTCATACTGACGCGACGACTACTACAATCAGCCCGTATCGGATAATAACAAGATAAAGTTGAACTTGCAATAAATGCCAAGAATAATGCTAAATGTCACCCGTATGGAACACATACACATATTTCATTCACAATTATTATACTCTTCATACGGGTAGTTGTCTAATTTCATAGTTATTTACTACTTTCCAAAATAATTGAAAGCAGTATAGAAAAAGCCTCAGTAACCGTGGAGGTCTTTTTTCTACCATTGCAAGAATTACACGGATTTAATTTCATTTAAGAGACTATGCAATTGCGATGAATCCGGTGAATCATGTTTGTTACTATAAAGTTTTATTCATTTCTTCTACGCAGGCTTGAATACCGTGGTCTGTACGAGATGCACCGGTTTAACGGCACTTGCAAAAAACGGAAATAATCCCAAGCTGCAAAGCTGGCAGATCGTGGTATGGTAGCTTCCTCCACACAACAGTTGCTTCTATTTCGATTCCTTAACCTTAGCGCCAAGCAAGCCGCAGCGGTGTCGGCGAGGTCTGCGAGAGATTATTCAACCATTGTCCATGAAATTTCCTTTTTTAATTCCAGAGCTGCCAAGTTAATATCATAGGAAGCAACGCGAGCGTTACGTGTAGTGATATGCTTCAAGCGCAAGAGCGATTTCTTCATAGCGCCAAGAATTTCCTCAAAACGTCGGCAATATATAGCATTTTCTTTTTCTACGGTGCCTTGTAACAAATGGAGCGAGTTCTATAAAAATTCCGTCCGAGAAGTTGCGTTCCAGTTAGCATTTCAAAGGGAACTGCACAGTTTTAACAGCACTTTGGCACACTCATATCAATGTTCAGTGATTACGTGCCATTGCTCTCCAAAAGCACGTTCAATAATTGTGGCAAACATTCAATGAGGCAAATAAATGATTTTGAAATAAATAAATGTTTTTTTTTTTTTTTTTTGGGGGGGGGGGGAGAGAAGTGGACTTCATAAGCGGGTGGGGGCGTAGAAAGGGTTGCAAATAATTCCAGGTCTATTTTTAAACAGTAAAATTATTAACTGAATTCATATTGATAAACGCTTTTGCGAGCCAACAATTAGATTTACAATTGAAATATTATTCTGTTTCTAAATATAGTAATATCACTTTTTCAAATCTTACCGTATCATTTCTTATTTCTATTCCACTAACTGAGGACTTTTTTTTCATTTTCAAGTTAGCTTTTTTAAATTAAAAAAAAAATGAGTAATTCCATGAATTGTGTCACAATCGTTTCCAAGTTTGACAAGATTAGTGGGCAAAATGTGGTTCATGAAAAATTACAATTATTTGTAAAGCTGCCAGATACCAGCTTCGACAATAATTAGTCATTCATTTTTCTTTTTTTTTTTCTGCCATGCCTGTATTTCTTTTTCTTTGTTTTTTCTTCGTATCTACAGAAACATATCATCTGTATGAGCAGTGACATTTAATGCGATCTTTCCATTTCTAAAAACGTGGCAGCCGAAACTTCCA